TCAGGTAGGGACCCGCCGCTAGTGCAGCCCCGCGCCCCTCCCAGTCTGAGCTCGGGAGAAAAAGTGCCCCGAGTCACTCAAGCTAAGCATGGCTCAGAGTCCAAAGGCTGTTACTACACTATTCCAGCGAGCTGTCAATGCAGGGACCCCTGCAAGTGGTCACTGGGTCAGTTCATCCCAGGGGACGCACTTCATCACCCCAGTTCTCACTCACAGACAGCCCTCTCCCCTCCCAATCTGAGCTCCCAAATCCCACATCTCTATTCTCACTCTACACTGGAGCTCAAAGGTCGCCTCCTCCAGGAAGCCTGCCCTGACCTCCCAGACAGAAGTGAGCATTTCCTTGAGCTCTGAAGCCCCTTGCTCTTACCACCATTATACCATTCAGCAGTGGGACACTGCAGTTCTCAGTGTACCAGGCTATCTCATATGAGGCTGTGCTTAAGATAGTGCCTGGCACCAAGTAATCAATGCATGCATGCTGAAAGGATGGATGAACTGCCTGGGCTTAGGGGAAGAAGCAGGCGTACTTCTTGCCAAACCTCCGTCGAACCTCCTGGGGAGGATCGGTGTCCATGGGGCACTGCAGTCTCTGTGGTGTCCGCTCCACCTGGACATCACCGCGGGAACAGCGAGCACTCACTCTGGGAGAGGGACTAGGACAGGAATGCAGGAGACAGGATCTTGGTTACCCAAGCCACCTGGTGCTCCGTTGACCCACTCTGTTGAAGAAGGGTCAGAGCTCTCAGCCAGAGGACAGCAGGATTCCCAGAGACCTAGATAGAGAATGAGTTGCATCCTGGGGGTTCTAGACAAGGCTGTCACAGATAGCTGTGCCCGTTACAAGGGCCTCTGACCCAGGCCAAAGGTGAATGGAGGGCTGTGTCAGCAGAGGAACAAGTGTCTTTTTCTGGTTTGCACGAAGGCTTGATGTAGGCTGGTGGGGGCTGTGATCCCAGGCATTTGGGGGAGAAAAAAGGCAACTCCCGGTCCCCAGCCCTCCCTCCAACATTCCCAGATGAGGGCTCACCAGAGCTTATCCTGGCTGATGTAGGAGGCTCTCCGGCAGAGATCCTTGATGACTTCAGGCACCTCCACTCCTGCAAAATGCAGAGCTGGGCTAGGGAGCAGCTCAGGGCCCAGAGCCTCAGGAGGACCTGGCTCAAATGTCCAGACACTATAGAGCAGCGGTTCTCAACCTGTGGGTCGCGACCCCTTGGGCGGTCGAACGACCCTTTCACAGGGGTCTCCTAAGACCATCCTGCATATCAGATATCTACATTACGATTCATAACAGTAACAACATTACAGTTATGAAGTAGCAACGAAAATCATTTTGTGGTTGGGTCACAACATGAGGAACTGTATTTAAAGGGCCAGAAGGTTGAGAACCACTGCTCTAGAGGGTCCCTGGCCAATACCCTGCCTCTGGGTGCCCCAGCCTCAGCCTGTGTCCCCAGTGGGAGCAGCCCTAGCCACTGTTGGTCAGGGAGAAGGCCTGCAACAAAGCTGGCCAGGCAGGCTCCCCTGAGTGTGTGCTCACCTTCAGTCTCACTCCTGGGACTAGAATCAGGCTTATGGGGCGGAGTTCAGGAACTGTATGCAACCCGTCTGCTAAAAACATTCTGTCAAAACCCCCCACTAATGACCCTCCAGCTTAAAATCTCTGTGGAGTTAAATGTAGAATCTAGGTGGTGCATATATGGGAGATTCCACTTTTCTGTGTTGGAAAATGTTCATAAGAAAATGGGAGGGGGGAGGGGGAAACACCCTTCCAGGAGCTGCCCATTGTTCCCTGTCTGGGCTGAGCACTTAGGGACAGGGCAGGACTGAGCAGCCAATCCAGGTTCTCACAGGAGACCTGGGAATCTGCAGGTCACTTCCAAGTGCTAAACCAATCCTGAAGATTACCCTGGTCTACAGGCCAGAGGCCAAACGTGATTAAGCTGAATTTAATGAAATCAGTGTTGAAAACAAAGTAATCTATCCCCTCTCAAATGGTTTAGCAAACAGCAGATGTGGCAAAAAACGGTAACAAATGACAAATCTAGGTGAGGGAGAAAGAGATGCTCCTTTAAACTCTAGGTTTAATATGTTTCAAAGTAAAATTTGGAGGAAACAATAAAGTACAACAATTAAAAGTCAAATGGGCCCTGGCTGGGTAGCTCAGTTGGTTAGAGTGTCATCCCAATACACCAGCGGTTCTCAACCTGTGGGTCGCGACCCCTTTGGGGGTCGAACGACCCTTTCACAGGGGTCGCCTAAGACCATCGGAAAACACATATATAATTACATATTGTTTTTGTGATTAATCACTATGCTTTAATTATGTTCAATTTGTAACAATGAAATTGGGGGTCACCACAACATGAGGAACTGTATTAAAGGGTCACGGCATTAGGAAGGTTGAGAACCACTGCAATACACCAAGATTGCGGGTTTGATCCCAGGCCACATACAAGAAGCAACCAATGAATGTAGAAATAAGTTGAACAACAAATCTCTCTCTCTCTCACTCTCTCTCTCTCCAATAATTTTTTTTTTTTTCATTAAAATGCCAAACAAAATACTCATTGCTAACCTTCTACTTAATCTCCTTTCCCAAGCCTGGTCCTTCCTCCTCCCCAGGGGCTGTATATCCGGGACTCTCTGGCTTGCGCTCACTTCAGGCACCCTCCCCTGCTCTGCCCTCAGGCCTGGGTGCCTCCTGCTCTGGCTGCCTGGGAAAGGTGAAAAGCTGCAGAATTAGACTTGCTGGGTCTGCACTCTACCAACTCTCCTCCCTACCTGGGCAGGGGAAGCCCTGACCAGAACCCAACTGTGCCTTGTCTAACTCACCCCTCTCACCTGGACTGCTCAGCTCCCCCAGGGCCTCATAATCCTGGGAGGGGCTGGGTTTGGTTTCAACATGCCCCAGTGAGAATCCCAGGCTGTGAAGACACAGTAACAGCTCAGAGCAGGCCACAGGCACTGCCTGCTCTCTGCCCACTCCTCACCCTGATTCTAGCCCCACCCACTGAGTCAGACACAGGAAGGGCAGGAAGTAGGGGGAGACAACAGAAGTGGGTCTCCATGGGTCTCCATGCACTTAGCAAACATTTACTGACCACTCCTCTGGGGAATAAAGTGGCAAACAAAACTACAACACCCACCACTACCAGACACCCCAGCTGAGGTGGGTATGGCCGGGGTAGGGCTGTAATGAGGAGACACTGTTTCCCCTCTGCATAGGGTTCTTTGACGAGAAAGAGGAATTCCAGCTGCCATTCCCCACGCTATCCTGACCCTGCACACCCCACCAGCAGGGCTGCATTATGACTTTTGTGGGTCCCAGGCCCCGTTGTCTTCCTGGGCCTCCTCCTCCATTAAAAAATAAATTAAAAATTATATTTAAAATAATTATATTGGTGTAAAGCAGAGGTGAGGAACATTTTTTTCTGCCAAGGGCCATTTGGATATTTATAACATCATTCGACAGCCATACAAAATTATCAACTTAAAAATCAGCCTGCTATATTTGGTCAAACATTTAAATAACTCACCCCTAATGCCTCGGCAGGGCTGGACCAAATGATTCTGCAGGCCTTATACAGCCTGTGGGCCAGATGTTCCCCACCCCTGGTATAAAGAATATAATCCAGGCTGGATATGTCATTACATATTATTATTATACTAATTCTCTTTTATGATTTTATTTTATGATTTTTTTCTTGTCTTCTGATTTTAAAAGAAACGAAAACATTTCCATGGATTCCCCAAATACATGGGCCTTGTGCACTGTGCCTGCTGTGCCTAACGGATAAGTCAGCCCTACCTCCAGGCTCCCTCACCTTTGACACAGAGCTGTGTGAAGCGGAGCTCGCTGTCATGGTCCCGCAGCATGAAGTGGAAGTCCTCCCATGTCAGCTCCTCCTTGTCCTGGAAGCCCGACTCCCGGAACATGGACTCCACCACCTCCGCCAGCTGGGCCTTGGACAGGCAGTTGTTGGAGATCTCGATGAAGGACCTGGGGGTTGGGCGCGGGGAGCTATCAGGCCCTGACAAGGGGCCTGGGGCCTAGACACAAGGGCCCACTGGCCATCCCACCAGGCAGGCCTTCAGAGCCCACATGGAAAGACCCCGATGGGCCAAATCCCAAGCCCCCTCTTAGCTCTAACAGTCTCTGGCTCTGTGGGTGAGAAGGTGGGGGCCCCCTGCTCTTTACCCTCCTGCTTCTTCCTTCATGTCCCACCCTTCCCCCTGCGGTCCCTGCTCTGGCCCACTCTCCTAGCTGTCCCATTGGACCAACCTCAGCATCCTGATGAACTCGTCCTTGGAAATGAGACCATTCTCATCAAAGTCGTACATGCGGAACATAAGGCGAGACTTCTCCTCAGGGGAGCCTGGGAGGAGGAGGAACCTATGAGCGGCCCAGACCTCCTGCCTAAACCCAGGCTGGCCGGGAGGGGCCTTACACTAGTGTGACCCACTGCTGGACACAGTGAGGGGTGCTCTGCTTCCTGACTCTATCGGGGCGCTCCCAGATGTCTGCCATGGCTAGAGACCTGACCCCAGTGCTTCCCCATCTCCAGCAGGTCAGCTACACCCCAGCCTCAGGCTCCAGCCCCTTCCATCTTCTCCTGTCTGGGCAATCACTCCCTCCTCCACTACCTTTCATGAAGACCACCAGGATGTCCAGGAACTCCCGGAAGGACAGGTAGCCATTGCCGTCTTTGTCGGCCAGAGAGAACATGGACTCCACAAACATGTCCTGGGGCTTGAGGCCCAGGGACTCGGCAAACTCGACCCTGCTGAGCTCACACGTCAGGGCCTCCTGAACCTTCTGAGATGAGTCCAGGGGCAGGGTCCCTGCGTCTGCCTGGTCGATGTCCAGCACCTGCACTTGGGCAGCAGCAGAGGGAGGGAGAGAAGGAGACAGGGATTCCTTGACTTGAAGGCCAGTTGAGCCACCTTTTAAGGTACCTGCCCAGCACCCCCTCCCCTAAGCACTACCCCATAAGCCCTGTGGGTGGCCCCTGTGGCCATTTATTCTACAGAACGTTGGCCCCGTGCATTAGCTGACTGGACCAGGGATGCCCACTTGAGCCACGCAGGGGACCTGGAATTGGGACTGGGAGGTCCTAGGTCTGTCTTGCCTGAGCACAAGGAAACTCAGAAGTCGTGGACCACCCTGTTCCTCCAAGTGCTCAGAGACACAGAGACAGAGCGAAGCAGCAGCACAGAGGAGAGGAGGCAGCCTCCGAGGCAGCCTTGTTTGCTGACAGCTTTCCCTTCCCTGGTCCTTTCCAGGCCAGGCGACAGCCCTCCCTTTGGGGTTCCTGAGACACTGCTATATCCTGAGTCAACTGAGCCTTCATCAGTGCTGGCTTGAGCGGGTTGCTTTTACATCCAGAGTTTTGACTGAGAGAAAAGCTCAACTGGGTTGAGAAAAAGCTGGGCTTGGGGAGGGGAAATTCTCATCATGAGCCATCTTCACCCCCCCCAAGGGGCTGCCCAGCATAAGGAGAACAGACGGTTAGGGAAGCAAGCAGCCTGCAAACCACAACACCTGTTGTTCCTGCCTGTCAACTAGAAGCCCCTACTTCAAGCCTGGCTGTGATTTCATGAGGTAAACCTTGCTGCTGGAAACAAGGTGCTTTAGCGGAAAGAGCCTGGGGCTAGAGGCAAGAGACCCAGGTTCATGTCCCAACGGTGCCACTGTCTCACTGTGTGGCCTCAGGCAAGTCTGTTCAGTTGTCGGCATTCGTTTCCTCACCTGCCGGACCTATCTCACAGGGTTACTGTGAGAATCAACAAGAGAGGCTGTATGAAAAATATCTGAAAGCTGAAAACACTGAAAGGGTTGGCAGCTACCCCAGGAAACAGTAGCACACCCTCACCTCCCAACACAGGGAGTTCTCTTTCACAGCCCTGGCGGATCCTGAACTGAGTGGAGGTGCCTGCCCGGGCCCTGGCAATGAGTCACCCCAGCAGGGGGACCCTCTGTTCTAGTACATACTCAAGTTCAACTTGTTTGAAGAGTACGTGGTGTACACAGCTAATGACCATTACATGGTAGCTTCCCTCATGGGTCCTTTCTGCAGCTAGCCAACCCTGCTCCTTCTCAAACACTGATTTTTTTGCCCTTCTACCGGGTATCTCCTTTCTTCTTTTTTTGGTTAATCCTCACCTGAGGATATTTTCCCATTGATTTTTTTTTAAAATATATTTTATTGATTTTTTACAGAGAGGAAGGGAGAGAGAGGTAGAGAGTTAGAAACATCGATGAGAGAGAAACATCGACCAGCTGCCTCCTGCACATCTCCCACTGGGGATGTGCCCACAACCCAGGTACATGCCCTTGACCGGAATCGAACCTGGGACCTTTCAGTCCGCAGGCCGACGCTCTATCCACTGAGCCAAACCCTAAGGATATTTTCCCATTGATTTTTAGAGAGAATGGAAGGGAGAGGGAGAGGGAGAGAGAAACATCGATGTGAGCCCCTTTCTTCTGAGCCAAAACTTTTCCAACTTTGAGTCCTTGCCAAATCTCACCTCCACCATGACTTTATACCTGCCTGAAGCTTCAACTACCATTTCTGAACTCCTAGACCACTTTTTTCCTGGGTCACTTTTATAGCTGTCATTCTTTGCCAATTATCTTCCTCTCTGTGTGCATCCTATCTTCCCATTGGGATGATAAATGCCTTCAGTGGGCGCCCATGCTGTATTATATCTCCCAACCTTCTCCTCTCCATTGTTCTGCTCAGGCTGCCTTTATTTTCATGCCAGATATGGGTCCAAGTCCTTGCATTTCTCTTCCTATCTTATTTCCCCACAACCTCTCAGTGGCTCTCAGATGTCTACAAGGTAGGCACTAATACCCTCTTTAGGCCTCTGGCAGCTACACTCCTCCAGGGAGGAGTGGCTAAGGGCTCTCACTGCCCCGCAAAGCCCATCTCACCCCAGATTTCTGCAGCCTTTAGGTGAGGGCAGAGAACTTGGGCAGCCCTGAGGAGAGATATCGACACATGCAGATGAGCCCCTTCCCAGGAAATGCCTCTCTGAAGTCTCACAGGTGGGTGGGATTGGAATGGGGCTGGCGCATCTCCTTACAGTAAGGTCAGGTGACTTGGCCAAAATCACAGTCAAGTTGACTCTTGGCTGTGATTTCAGGGTTTCTGACTTGCCCTGGAGTCACCCCATGGCCTTACACAGGTAAGGGCACCACCATAGACAGACGTGCAAGAACAGATCTGATCCCACATACACACCTGGGAGAAAAGGTGCCTGAAAAAGGTCTCCAGGAGGAGGCTCCGCTGCTCCCGCGTCACGGCTGCCCTCAGCAGCTCCTGCTCCCGCATCTCCCACTCCTGGAAGCTCAGCCCACTTTCCTTCAGAGCCACCCGAAGGTTTTCCACCAGTGCCTGCCGCTCTTCCTCCAGGTTAAACAGCAGCACCTACGGAGGCAGCAGGAGGGAGAGCAACCATTTGTCAAGGCCTTTTAGGTCTAGGACAACGGTTCTCAACCTGTGGGTCGCGACCCCTTTGGGGGTCGAACGACCCTTTCACAGGGGTCACCTAAGACCATCGGCAAACACACATATAATTACATATTGTTTTTGTGATTAATCACTATGCTTTAATTATGTTCAATTTGTAACAATGAAATTGGGGGTCACCACAACATGAGGAACTGTATTAAAGGGTCGCGGCATTAGGAAGGTTGAGAACCACTGGTCTAGGAGCTTTATATGAATTTTGTTGGGGCCACTGGAAAGAGAGCCCTTGCAAAAGACACTGTTATTTCCTGGGCTCAGGGGTTAAGTGGTTTTCTTCTATGTGCAGAGGTAGCATTCAAAGTCACATACATGTATGAAGCATTCTTCCCTCCGTGTTCCATACTGGAGAAGGGGAAGGCAGGGAGGCCAGAGGATTGAGGGGACCATGAGCCAGACACTCAGAGCTGAAGATCAGCCTCTGATGGACTCCCCTCCGAAACCTTTAACAAATCACTCCAGCCTGAAATCAGGGGTCAGGGAGGAGCACCCAGCTTCTTCCAAGGAATCCCAGCCGGGACCTGCCACAGAGGCCTTAGAAAGGGAGGGGCAGACTGCCTGCAGGAGGAATAGGGGACTGTGGAGATCATATCCAGCAGGTCCAGAGCAGGACAGATGTGCTCAAGTTTCTCTCCCTATCAGGTACTACAGCCAGTAACCAGAAGCCAGAAACCCTGTGTGGCCCAGTGCTCCTTTCCCTCCACCTGGCTGGCCGTGTCTGTGGACGAGGAGCCAGGGGCCAGCGGGGCCATACCAGGTCATACTCCTTGGGGATCTTGAGCAGCAGGGTACGGTGTCCATGGTTGTTGGAAAGGATGAGGTTGACCTGCTGCAGGGGCCGCAGCTGGATGATGCGGAGCACAGAGAGCCTGCCGTCCAGGACACGGACCTGCCCGGGTTGCAGGTGCACAAGCACAGGCCGGCAGGGCTCCTTGCGGCCCTGCCATTCCAACGCTGGGGAGAGACGGGGCTGGGTCAGCTGGGGCCTCCGGGCCTGCCCTGCTGGAGGCACACCCAAAGGAAGAAGGCCAGCTCAGAGCTGGGGTTAGATCAAGGCCTCCACAGCTCCTTGCCTCTTCTTGGGTCCTGAGGGACACCCCCTCCCCAATAGTCCCATGAGAAGAATAACTACCATTTCCTGAGTGATTACCATGTGCCCAACACGGCATCAAGTACTTTGCATGAACGAATTCATTTAGTCTTCATAAATCGATAAGGTAAGTGCTATTATTATTCCTACTTTACAGATAATGAAAAGTTTAGAAAACTTAAAGATCTGCCTAAGGCCCAGCTGGTGGGATCAAGATTCCAATCCTCAGTCAGTCTGACTCTAGACCTTCATTAATTACTTCTCTGTTGGCTGAAATTCCAGTGTAAGATGCACAAAGCAGCAGTTCTTGGGAATTTGTGAGTCACAGAAACCCTGTAAAATGTAGTCCAGGTTCTGTGACTCCTCCCCATGAATCTATCTCATTTCCTCTGGGACCTTCAGGAGGAACTACAGAGGTGGGAGGACTCCAGGACCAACTTCCACCCAATGCCCCTGTGGCCCTCCCCCCTGCCCGGCTGCCAGGAGGCCTAGAAAAAGGAGGCCTTTCCTTAGGCTGCTGAGGTGGAGGAAGGGGCTGTCGCCCTGAGTCAAGTCCTCCTTCTCACCACCATGGCCAGCCCCAGGCTTACCTTCCACGCCCTCCACGAACTTCTCAGACTTGATGCTTTGGCAGTTCTGGCCTTGGAGCTTCTTGAAATTTCTCTTCCGGAGCCGGGCAACAATCCAGGCAACAAGCAGGCTCACTGGCAGGGCAGAGGCAGTAGGATGCTCAGAGGGAGGTCTGGGGAGATCAGTGGCTCCTTTGCCAAGACCCCTGCTTTCCCCAAGTCCTAGATCTATCCATTCTCAAATTATAAAGCTGCCTTCAGAGAGGCGGGGAGCTGCTTTGCATCCTATGGGGAGTTTGGGTAGCATCTAAGATGCCTGTGCAGGCTCCTCCTCTGCTTCCAGCACTCAGGTCCTCTCCCAGCTAGAGCTGGACCCACTCCGCCAGGCTGCTGGTCCACCCACACACAAGTCCAAAGCCTCTGCCCCAGCAACTACATCCCAGCTCTGGTTCTCCAGCAGGGCATTGCCTCTGACAGGCCCAGGCTCCTGCAAATAGCTGTGGATTGTGGATTCCTGGGACGCCTGACCAATCTGGGCCCTGAGAACAGGGGGGCAATTCTCCCTGGTGCCAACTTATCTGCAGGTCAGACACCTCTTGTGTCTCCTCCTGCTCTGATGTTTTTGTCATCTGCCCAGAGGAACATGGCTTGTTGCCACAGATGGAACCAACCCTACTCCCAACTTGCATCTTTTACCCAACCCCACCCTGCCCATCACTGTTACCCAGGGGGAAGCAGCAGAGGGTCCCAATGGTGACCCCGAAGCCAAATCCACTGCCCTTGAAGTAGTCCCGCATGACAGGGGGAACACAGGCTGGCAGGCCCTCCGTGCTGAGTTGTCCTGGCTGTGGGCAGGGGTCTCCTGGGGAGGCAGAGAAAGCTAGAGTCCTGGGGGCTCAGGCACAGCATCACTGAGGCGGTTAGGGTGGCAGAAAGGGGGAATGGTGGTGGCTCTGGGTACCAGAGGGGAGGAGGCTGCTTACCCCTGCCATTGTCCCAAGAATGTGGTGTTTTTCTACTTGGGTAACAAGTGGGGTCCAAAATGAACCTCAACCTCTATCTTTCCCTCCTATGCACGTGTGTACACACACACACACACACACACACACACACACATACACACAGAACCCTTCTGTTGTTACTGCTGTGGGGTTGGGATGCCCTCACTACACTCAGCCCTCCTAGTGTTCCACCCACCCCCAGCCCCATCCCAGCTGAATGTGTCTCCTTACCAGGACTCTCTGAGTCTCAGCCCTGCCCCCACTTGGCACCTGCAGTTGTGCAGAGGGGAACCTACATAGCTGTATGTGGCTACCTTGGTGCCCAGATCCAAAGTTCCCAAGGGCACAACCATAGTTCACTCCCCCCTTGGAGTCTACTGTCCAGTCACACTGACCCAAACGCACAACTGAGGAGGAAAGAAACTCCAGACCCCAAACCCCTGCAAGCACCCCTTGGCCACTCACCCACATGCCAGAAAAAGACATTGGGTTGCAGGGCACTGGGGTCCACGTTGGTGACAGCCACTAGAACATCCCAGAGGGATGTGTTTCTGATCTCTGCGATCTCTTCCTCAGAGAAGAGTCTGGGGGTGAGAGAGGTGGGGTGTTCTCAGAGTGGGAGAGAGATGCAGGCCCCAGGCCCAGGGATCCAGATGAGGAAAGAGCCCCAGAGGGACTGGGGAGGGGGCAGTGCCAGCTGGGAGTCAAGGGCCCATGGGGGCTGCTTATAGGCAGAGGGTCTGGAGTCTGAGGTGGGAACCCAGGCAGGCCTTACCCATTCCTGGTGTTCTCAAACCAGTAACGGTCACCATCCCGCAGACGCACAAACTGGTCGAGGACTATGGTGCTGAAGAGGGGCCCGGGGTTCCCGTGGCTCTCTAGGAGCCCCCCAGGGAGCAACTCCAGCAGGGACAGGTCCTGGTTGTACAGAGCAGCGGTGGCTTCCAGCACCTGGGGCAAGAAGGGACAGGAGTGAGTGTAAGGACCTCGCATCACCCTCAGGCAAAGAGATGGTTCCCAGGGATCAGCCTTAGGGATAATAATAAATGACAGTAACAGTAAATCACTTATTATGCCCCAGGCACTGCTCTGAGTGCTTTGCATAAGTTCACTCATTATGGGAATCCTCTCACAGATTCAGCTGCCTATTTTACAAAGTTGGAATAGAATAGGCAGCCAATCCCCTATGTAACTTATTCTTGGAAAGGTATACAAGTTCAAGAATCAAATCAGTGCAAATGTTAAATGGTAGAATGATGTGTTAGAAAAGGTTTCCATTTTTTAGATCTAAAGAAGTGTTTAAAAAATCAAATCCCTACGTATACATTGTATTTTAAAGACAGCCTTCAACAATATATGGGCAGCATAGTCTACCTCACCTCTACTTTAGTTCTTTTCTTCACAGTGTAAATAAGCACTTGACCAGTTTAATCCCAATGAGGTGCAATTGAAGCTAAAGATGTGCTACTTTGGGTATGCCCGCTGATTCTTATCTTGATGTTGATTTTATAAAGTTCACAAGCCCCACACACGTATCACGTCTTTGTTGGTCTTTCAATTCTCTATTTTCCAACAATTTTATAAAATAGTAAGGGCAAAGGCAATAACACTGTCATCAATTATAGAAACCCCGTTGTACCAAGATGTTAAGGAGCTAAAACTAGTCTGTTGGCGGGTGATAGCGTAGGGTGTGAGAGCTGACTCCCCTAAGGCAGCTTGAATACCAGTGCGCAAAGGCAGGACTTGTTCCTGAGTCAATAACTTTCTTTACACACCCAGGGAATCAGGGAAGAGTAAATGAAGTAACGTCTACTAAGTGCTTGGCATGCAATAGATGCCCAACAAACATTTGCTGGATCTGCACAGCTGCAGAGCCTAAAGCCAACTCCTGCTGGTCTGGTCACCTACAGCCTGGTGTGTGATACTGGGAAAAGCAAGGTGGGTGAGCCCTGCCCCTCTCAGCAGGTGCTTGTCTCTGGTACCCGGGTCTCACTGCCCATCTTCTGTGTCTCAGGCCAGTGTTCCCATGGCCCTCCCACCCTGCCCTCTGGGTCCCGACCACTCCTCACGGTGCCATGACTCTGGGAGAGTGCAGGGTTGATGTCCTGCCATCTGGTAATGGGAGGCAGGCCCAGTGCTTCCCTGGCCTTGGTGTAAGAGGGCAGGCCCAGGTCCCGGCCCCGCTGCAGGCTGCTGGCCACGTGGTCAGTGCGGGAGTACTTCAGTGGCCCGGGCCAGAAATCTGTGAATTTGACAGCAGAGAGTCTCAGAGAGCTCAGCAACACCAAAGCTCCTCCGGCCCATGCCCCAGGCTTCCACCAGCCCCATGGGACGTAAGCTGTACAGAGGGAGCTGTGGCCATTAGGTCAGAAGCTCTCTCAGCAGTGAGACAGCGCAGGTTCCCAGCCCTGGATACCCCGCCCTGCTTGGACCTCCTCCCAGGGGCCAGGGGTGCACAGCCTACAGGCCAGTCTTGGCCTCACCTCGCACATCCTCAACCACCACATGGTCTTCTTGTTCAGCAATCTGGGAGGCCATGCCCAGTAGCAGCGCATCTACATCTTCAGCTCTTTGTAGGTTTGGGTGCTATGGGAGTGAGGAGAGGAGACGAGTGTGGCTAAGGGGGCCAGAATTTGGGCAGCCAGACTCCCTCCACCTATAGTTTACGTTCTCTATTCAGTCCTGCTGTTCACTCCCAAACTGGTGGGCCATTCCTCTTCCACTGGTTGATTCACCACTCACAGTGAGTGATGTCCTCATCCAAAGCCCTTGACCAGACCTTTCAGGGAGGAAGGTCTCCATGAGCACAAGGGACCAAACACTTGATTTCTTCTATTTCATTTTGTTTATTTATTCATTATTTCTTCTATTTTTAGAAACAGACTTGAGATCATGGTTGACAGAGACACTAGAATATATAGGTCTTGGTTCTTGTTTTGTTTGGTAACCAGCTGTGTGACTGTGGACAAGTGATAGGATCTCTCTGAATTCAGTGTCCTCCCCTTACTAAAAAGGGCATTATAACTTTAAAAATAATGAAATAAAATTAATAAAGTAATAAAAAGGGATTAGGAGGACACTGAGGTCTCTAAACTCAGCCCCATGCCTCTGATCCTATGCCTTCCTCTTCTCTCTTTTCCTCCCTCCTCACTTCCCTCTTATGAACTCTGAGTTTGCTTTAAATTAATGATCAATGCTCTTGACCCACACCGACCTGGTTTGGGTGGACAGACTATCCCTGGTAATCTCTCAGAATCCCTCCCTTCTCCTTGCCTCCAACCCACAGAAACATATTCATTTGCTGCCCTAGGTAAGTCTAACTGGAGAGTTTCTTTGGGGGCTGGGATGACTGGGGTACTCCAAGGCTTACAGGGGACTCAGAGCTGTCAAGGGAGAAGAAAAACCTTGAGGAAGCAATAAATGTAGAGCCACACTTGCACAGTCCTGAGGTGAGAATAGAGGGTTGACTTTTGACCATGTACAGCTACCCGGTCATCTCAGACACTGGTAGGAGAGATGGCTTTGGTCCCCAGGCTGCCTCCTCCACCCCAGCCCATCCCAGTTGCTGGCTGTCTCAGCCCTACTGCCCACCTTCACCACATACCCTAATACATGTGTATGTGTGTGTGCACGTGCGCACACACACACACACAAACACACACAATACACATACCCACCCACATATATGTCCCCAGCTCTGACCTCTCGGCTCCAATAGCTGTTGCAGACCCGGAGAGCTCTGGAGACGCTTGAATTCCGATTGATGACCCTCTGGAAGTGGCAGCTGGCATTTCTGAAATGCAAGGAGCAGGGGAGTGGTGACTGAGACCCCAGGGTCCTAATGTCAGGCATCAGCTCTGGTCTCTCAGGCTGTATCGAGGGGCCAGGCCATGGTTTCCCTGAGGTGGTATGTGTTCAGGGAAGGTTCTGAACAATCTGATTTTGGGGAGGTCTCTCTCCCACATCAGACCAAATATCTAAAAATGCACCCATAGAGTTTGCTCATACTCTCTTTCTCTTTCCACATGTACATAGACATTTTGAACGAATTTGTAATTGTTCTTTTGAAATTACTTGTCTAAGCCCTATCCAGGTGGCTCAGTTGGTTGTAGTGCCTTCCTATACACCAGAAGGTTGTGGGTTTGAAATTACTTGTCTATGAATAACTCAATTGCTATGATTCCTTGGCCATCATCAGGCATATCCAGAAATTGTTCCAACCCTGGCCCAGTAGCTCAGTTGGTTAGAGCATCATCCTGATATGCTGAGGTTGTGAGTTTGATTCCCGGTCAGGGCACATAAAAGGAACAATCAGCGAATGCATAAATAAGTGGAACAACAGAAATTGTTCCAGAAAAAATTTTTTTTTTGAAATTATAATGCAGATCTGCTCCTGTTTGGTGGCTGATGCGGTGGCCCAGGGGGCTTTGCCGATGCCAGCGTGAGCTAGTCAGGCTTAGCCAGGGCGATCCTAGGGGCGCCGTCTCAGCATCCGGGCCCCTCCCTGCCCAGGCCGGCGTCCCTCCCCTCTGAGCGGGTTCCCGTGGGCGGCCTGCCAGGCCGTGACGACCCTGGAGCCTTCATGTGGCCCCAACCTCAGCCCCTGTGCTCACAACCACCTTTGTCGCAGCCACAGGCCCCTTGTCTCCTCAGAGGTGACCTCGCCCAGGGCGCAGGCTGCCTCTGCTGGTGGAAGCCGGTTGCTGAGGGTTGGAAATACACAGACATTTTTAATGGAAGCAAAATGGGGCAATGGAGAAACCAAGATGATGGCATAGGTAAACACCGGAAATTGCTGCCTTGCACAACCACTTCAAAAATACAACTAAAAGACAAAATGGACAGCATCCAGAACCACAGGAAGGCTGGCTGAGTGGAAATTCTACAACTAGAAGGAAAGAGAAAAGCACACTGAGACTCAGAGGAGGTGCAGAAGTAAAGTGCAGAGGGATGGAGGCGCATGTGGAAAGGGCTGGCAACTGAGGACACGGTTGTCTTTTTCAATCGGGAGGGAGTCTCAAGCTCCCAACTGCTCTGAACTCTAGTTCCGGGAGAGTCTCTGGGGAGAAACTGGACTGTCTGGCATCGGGCAGAACTCGAGGGTGGCTTTCTCTCAGAGGTGCCTGCAGCAATTACCATGGGACACTGAGACCCTGGGCCTCTTAGGGCAGGGCTGAGGATCAGCCATAGCTGTTTGCTCTCTCCACCTTGTTGATTCCCTGAGACCCCGCCCAACTCAAGCTGTGCTCAGAGGCTTTTGCATATGAAAGGCCTGGCCCTTTGCAATCTGAAAATTACCTAACAAACTGCAGCTGGGTCAGAGAGACCCAGAACATCCAGAAGAAGACCCAAGGCCCCACAGCAGCTTGCATTGCTTCACAGCTGGGCCTCATCTAGGCACCTCCAAACCCCAAACCAAGAAGAGGAATCAGCAGATCTCTCCATAGCTCCTGCTGGGTAGCCTCAGGCAGGGGCTAAATTAGCACCTCCTTAGAGATCCAAGAGCCAGTGTACCCAGTGGTCAGAGTGGGACCATCCAGATCACAACTCCTCAGATCCATAAGGGACACACTCAGGGGGCAGACTCAGTGAGCACCAAAGCCCCACTGAAGCAAGTCTTGCCCCAGAAGGGTGTCTCCAGCACAGAAGTTCTCCCACCATAGACACAGCTGATTCTCACAGCCAATTGGCCTGGAGGTTAATTCCTCCCAGTGATACCTACAACAATCAAGGCTTAACTACAACAAGACTGTGCACAAAGCCCACAAGGGGGTGCACCAAGAGTGTCCACCTCAGGTAACTGGGGAGGCTGAGCCACTGGGCCCTATAGGACACTTAGCACAGAAAGCCACTCTATCAACACAGGGAAGCATAAAAAATGCAGAGACAAAGAAACAGGTCACAAATGACAGAAATGGAGGAAAGCAAACTACAGGATATAGAGTTCAAAACCACACTTACAAGGTTTTTCAAGAATTTTCTAGAAACTGCTGATAAATTGAGTGAAACCCTCAAGAAATCTAGTGAGACTCTCGAGGTTATGAAAAAGGACCAACTGGAAATTAAGCATACACTGACTGCAATAAAGAATATTATACAGAGTTCCAACAGCAGACTAGAGGATCTCAAGAATCAAGAGCCTCCTGAGCTACTTAATCAAACCTTGGAGTACTTAATGATACCACGAGCTAGTGAGCCTTCGAGCTGAGGAGTGTTAATGATACCACGAGCTAGTGAGCCTTCGAGCTGAGGAGTGAGCCTGCGAGCTGAGTGAGCCTGCGAGCGAGATCAAGATCTTTACATACATTCTCCCGGGTTTCAATCCTACTCAACTACATGCACCTGAACTCTATCAAGCCCACATCACTCAGGCACATGGGGCCATGTGTTCGGACCATAGGTTCAAGCTCACAACTACAGCTGTTGGCTATAATTGTGCTGGGAGGGCCCTGCCCTCCAAGCTGGGACTTGCACGTGGCAATGAGAGGAGTGTGCCCTCTCATCAGTCCAAGGCTTGAACCTGTCCAAAACACCGTAGCGGCTACCCACAATAACGTTTTAATTCTGTTTCTTTGTTACTAATGTTGTGGCCCCACCCCATAACAAAGAAACAAAGGAAAATTTCCCCATGGAATTTCTGAATAGTATTACTCCTTAGGGAATGCCGTGTCATAAATTAAAATTGAAAGTGGGTGCAATCATCATGCTATTGAGAAATCTCAATAGTAAATGGGGTCTTTGTAATGGTACCAGATTTATTATCAAAAGATTATGACCTAACATTATCGAAGCTGAAATATTAACAGGATCTTCAGAGGGAGAAGCTGTTCTGATTTTAAGAATTAATTTGTCCCCATCTGACACTGGCCTCCCATTTAAATTGATTCGACGACGGTTTCCCGTGACGCCAGCATTTGTGATGACTATTAATAAATCACAAGGACAAACTCTAGACAGAGTAGGCTTATTCCTACCTGAACCCGTTTTTGCACATGGTCAGTTATATGTTGCTTTCTCTCGAGTTTGAAGAGCATGTGATGTTACAGTTAAAGTTCTAAGTACTTCATCACAAGGGAAATTAGCCAAGCACTCTGAAAGTATTTTCACTCTTAATGTGGTGTACAGGGAGATATTAGAATAAGTTTAATCCCTTTATCAGTCATTGTTTGCATCACTGTTGTTTTTATATCATGTTTTTGTTGTTTTCATTATCATGTTTTTGTCGTTTTTATATCATGCCTCTGTTGTTGTTATATCCTTTTGTTACTGTTATTTATTAATAAATTTATATATTATTTTCAAAAAAATTATAATGCAATTGTAAAAAAAATAAACTGATATGCTTTGCTTTGTATACATTTAATTAATTAATTGTTTTTAGTTAAAGTCCCCTTTTTATTATTTTGGAGCCTATATTTTCTTCAGCTCTCACACATTTTAAAAAATACATATTTTTATTGATTTCAGGGAGGAAAGGAGAGGGAGAGAGATAGAAACATCAATAATGAGAGAGAATCATTGATTGGCTGCCTTCTGCACACCCCACACTGGGGATTGAGCCCACAACCCAGGCATGTGCCCTGATTGGGAATCGAACCGTGACCTCCTGGTTCATAGCTCAACCACTCAGCCACACTGGTCAGGTTCACATTTTTATTATAATTTCTCCAAAAGGTTTATAAGCGCCAAGTTCTGTATTTACAGCTAAAAGTGCCCCAGGGTAGTGTCAAGTTCAGCACAGCAGGCTTTGTGACTCAGCCTCTGAGCCTCAATTAGCCAGTCTTAAACTGGAGAATGAAGAGCTACACCAGTTGCAGGAATATGGACCTAAAGTGCTTAAACACCACAATAATGTATCTTTTTAAACAATTGTTTTTATTCTTCCCCTCCTTGTTCACTGTTCCCTGATAATCCTGTCCTGAAGACTCAAGAGGGCAATTTTCTCAATTGACAATCCCACCCCCACCTGCCGCCCCCTCACCTCCCAACACACACTTGAGCCCTCCTTTACCTCATGTAGACGCCAGGGGGCACCATGGTGGAGAGGAACTGTTCAGAGGCTGCCAGGAACTCTGGAGAGATGCTGGGGTCCAGGAAAGGGCGGTACCCTGCCCCACGGGAGGAATAGGAGAAATAAACTCCTGAACCCTCCATCCTCCCATAACAGGCATCCACCTGTCTTCTTTCCGCCTATGGATCCTAACCACAACCTCCCTCAACACAGGTGCCCCCCATGCCCTCACCTGTATATTCTGGGGGTGTTTGCTGCAGGAAGCTGGGCAGCCACTCATACAGAGCAATGTTCTGAGGGTCAAGAGAGAGGAAAGGTGGGGCGAAGGCTCCAGCTGCCAGGCCAGGAGGGTCTGAGCCAGGGGAGGCTTAAGTGGGAGAGGACCACCAGGCAGGGGCAGTCATGGGAAAGGCAACTCAAGTGGGAGAGGAGCTGAGCCTCTCCCACAAGGAACAAGGGATTGGGGGGGGAGGCAGCTAAATCTCTTGTGTAAGTGGCACTTAGCCTCTCTGTCATCCCTAGACTTTAGCTCTCCACGTGAGCAGGGGGTCCTGAGAGCGAGGGAAGGCGGGTCACCAGCTGTCCCAGTAAAGGGTGTTTCTGGGTGGCCGGTGTCCAAGGATGGAGGGCTCTGCAGGGGAGCAGAGTCCCCGTGGACCAGGGCAGGAGGGTGGGGCGGGAGGGCCGTGGCACTGACCTGGTAGGTGGCAATGACCCTCTTGCGCGCGTGCTGGAACAGCTCCTCGTCCCCCCAGCGCGGGTGCTCGAGGGCCAGCCGCTGCGCGCACAGGTTGTGGTAGCGGAACCAGAGCAGGCCCAGCGCCTGCAGGAAGGGCTCGCGGTTCCCTCGCTCGGCCCCGAAGGCTGCATCCGCCAGGGGGACGCAGGAGGAGAGGAGCGGGTGTGACCCAGGGGAGCGCCACCTCGCAGACCCCAGCCCGCCCCGCCCTCCCGCCCGCCCTGGCGCCCCGCGGCCTCACCATACAGCCCCCGGGCCCCGCGCTGTCCCGTGGCGGGGTCGGGTGCGGTCCACATGAGCAGGGGCTCCTGCGCATCCCGGGGGAAGGCGTGGTCGGCCCCCGACGCCAGCTGCCCCCCAGAAAAGCTCCGCAGCGCGTCGCTCCAGGAGTGCGAGGAGCCATAGATGGCGCTGCCGTCCAGCCAGCCCGTCACCTCGTTGGTCTGACAGGTGAGCAAGGGGGTAGTCGAGGCGGGTAAGGGGGGCCCAGGGCCAGGGCCTCTCCGCACACGACCCTGCCAGACCCGGAGCCCAGAGCCCCACCCGCCTGGGATCCAGCTCCTGCCTGGCCACCTGCCCATCTCACCAGGTCCCGGGGGTTGCTGGGGCTCTGTCCGGTCTTGGGGTCCCAGCGGCTCCTCTGGAAGGGCAGCACCACGTCCCCGCGCCGGTCGGGGTCGAACACCGGGTCCCCGAGTGGGATGTGGATGTTGAGGAACTCGGCGGGGCAGCCGGGTCTCTCTATGCTCACCAGGTCCGAGAGCACGTGGTAGCCTGCGCCAAAGGGGAGGGGCGCTAGGGCCAGGGAAGCCCACTCTCCTTTCTCCCCCAGGTAGCTAGTTCCCCCACCCCCATCCCCTCTCCTAGCTGCAAAAGACTCAACAGCCATATGGGGCAAGTCCCGGCCTTGACCTCACCCATTCCTTCCCAAAGCTTTGTTACACCCTGGTCCAAACTGTTTTCATTGACAGTTTGGCCCTCTCCTTGGTAACTGGGAGGTGCCCAGTGAGTGTGCCTGGCAGCATGGGTTCCAACACATCGCTGGGAGCAGCCCGCCCAGAGGGCCCGCCAGCCCTGGTGGCCTGGTGGACACTGAGAAGCAGGTGTAGGCATTTGGAATAACTAGCAGGAGCCCGGCATTCCTGCTGTGGGCCAACAAACAAACCCGTCACTAGGCCCTAGTGACCCCATTTCGACACCCGCCAGCCCTCCTGCCAGGATAGGAACCCTGTACTGCGCCTGTCTTAGGAGCCACAGAGGCAAAGAGTGAGAAGAGCATCCCACCAAGAGTCCCCACCAGATTATTTTCATGCTCCTGCTTCTACCCCCACCCCCGTCAACAGCTCAACTTGGGGCACATTTATTCCTCTTCTAACCAGACTTTAACCCTCTGCTCCCACCCCTACCCCACCTCATTGCCAGCCCCTCCATCTCTCTCCCCATCTCTCTCCAACATTTCTCTCCCTCATTCTCTTAGTCACCCTCAGACACAGAGGTGTCTAGCTGATCCCCTTGGCCTCTATCCCCTACAGGTTGAGGCCCTTACCGAAGAAGACCCCCAGCACTGTGCGGTTCTGCAGGGAGGCCTGCCCTGCAGGGCCCCTCGTGGCAGTGTTGCTGACGTCACGGGGATTAGGCAGGTAGGGCTCTCCCAAGGGCTGGTACACACCATCTGCATAGGTGGCTGGGACCAGGCGCTGCAGCCGATAGCCTGCAATGGGATGGGTAGGGACAAGGACCAATCCTCAGAGGGGTTCTCTGACCTCCTCTCTCCCAGGCTTCCTCCATACCACAGATCTTAAAACCTTGGGAATGGATAAGCCTTTGCTGGTGCCTGCCAGTCCTTCCAGTGGTTCTCAACCTTCTGGCCCTTTAAATACAGTTCCTCATGTTGTGACCCAACCATAAGATTATTTTCATTGCTACTTCATAACTGTAATGTTGCTACTGTTATGAATCGTAATGTAAATACCTGATATGCAGGATGGTCTTAGGCGACCCCTGTGAAAGGGTTGTTCGACCGCCAAAGGGGTGGCGACCCACAGGTTGAGAACTGCTGCCCTAAGCAGTGGGTACCATCCTAACCCTTGGCTCGGTATCCACTTGACTCTCACTTACCTTTGCTGCCCCATCTGTGCTCCATGAGGTTGTTGTACCATCCATCAAATCGCTGCACCTCCCAGGAAATAGCATTCTGAGCTCCTGTGTGAGGATGGAGGGAAGGGGCAGCTGGGCAAGTCAGTACATGAGCGGATGGGCAGGCCTGCAGAATCTGTGTCCTGTGAGCCTGACACTTGGGTCAGCAGAAAGTGGACATCCAGCACAGATGTGGGAGGTAGGTTAGGGTACAGAGGGAGCCAATCAGAGCAAAGTGATGTTCAAATTCAAGCCCAATCTTTAAGCTGTTGGGGGGAGGGGGTCAGATATGGCAGGGAGCACTTCAGGATTGTAGCCAGGTAGCCATGTGCAGTGTGCTGACAAATGCCTCAGAGAGAAAGAGGAAGCAGAAGAACAGGGGCAACGGAGAAGGAGATGCAAGAGACTTTTATTACTCTCACACCTCAGCTCCCTGGGGGACATGGCAGGACAGCAGCCATTCCAAGCCTTAAGACATCACACAGAGCAAGAGCTAGCCACCCCCAAACAGCCAGCCACCCCCAAAGAGCAAGCCATTCTTCCACCCAGGAAAGGACATGTCATTCTCTGATCCATCCCCAGGCAGGGGCAGGGGCTTGGCCCTCTCCTGCTGAGCAGAGCCTAGGGCAAGGATGTGGGCCACAGAGCTGTGGTTTTGATCCTTTTTCCAGTTCTTGGGTGGGATCAGGGACTGATAGTCAAGTGGATAACCTTGCCCCCTTCTCTTTGGGGGTCAACATGTCCCCCATATAATTCCTCCTCTTGACCCTATTTGCTCCAAAAACCTAGGGTTTGGGAGGGAGTACTCAGCTGCTGAGGGAAGAACTCAGGCAATGGGGGCAGAGGGAAGCATCCAGAATCAGAAATATAGCAGGGGTCCTTCTGGTCAGTAGATCAGATGACCAGTCAGATTCCTTTCCCCAAATGAGGAGGCCATAGCGCTGAGTCTCCCCCTCTCCTCAACTCAGAGAACAGAGCAAAGAAAAGGACTCTCATTAGCCAGAGGAGGCCTGTTCCTCAGATTGTCTCCCCACTCAGACCAAGGACAGGATCTCAGAGCTACTCTCCTGCCCCATAGTTCACACACACACACACACACACACACACACACACACACACACACCAGGTGGTCAGAGAGGAAAAATGACTCAGGCCCTGGTATTTGAGCAAAGAACTGAGGAGGAGCAGAATAAGTGACCCCAAAATATGTCACTTTGGCATGTGGATTATTTTGAGCTGAAGGCAATCAAGATATAGCAGACTCAAGAAAAACCTACCCTTTTCTCAACCACCTAAAAAATATTAGGTAGGGGCCTGGCCCAGAAAGAGGGTTAATACCAGAGATAACTTTTGATCTGGATGGCAGGGCAAACATCTAACCAGATATCTGCTCTTCCTATTGTCTTATGAATTTCCCTTCTCCCCTTTGATGCCCCAGACCACTATCCCATTCCTCAGCTTAGGATGGTAAAGAAGCCAAAGAATCAAGAAGGGATGAAGGGAAAAATTTTCCATCCCTGCAGAACCCAACTAAGGATCAGGACTTGGGGCAGAAATAGGGCAGCCACATACATTCTATCTCTAAAATAAGATGAACTTGTGGCAGAACAAGGGATGGGAGCTGTTGGGGAGGGCATGGGGGAGAACGCCTCTTGGGAATTAGAGGCAAGAGAAAAGGAAAATCTAAGGCCAAGGCATAGATAAGGTTGGAAGAAATGCAAACGTGAGCAGCTCTGGCAAGGGAGAAGCTGCCGGGGCTGGCTCATCACCCTATGCCGCCAGTCAGGACAGATCATTTCACAGATTTTCTTTGCTCCTTGTTCTTGCATCCCTGCCCCTGATGATCACAGACTTGCTCTTTTAACCTAATTTGTGGCACCTTAAACCCACTTCCCTCCTCAGAGACCCAGACTATAGGGAATTGCCTCAGATTTTAGTAAGAGACTATCCAAAGCCAAAGGTAACAAGATGAAACGCTTGTGGATTTTTTTCCTAATCATATTGTTTTAGAACATTGGTGACTTCCCTTGGCGGAAGTCAGCATTCAGTCCAATCTGACCCCAAGATCCTTTATTTGCTTCTGTGTCTAACCAATCTTTTTCTATTTGGTGTCTGGGGTGGAGGCCATAGGGCTCAGTCTCCCCTTCTCCTCAACTCAGAAAACAGAGCAAAGAAAAGGACTCTCATTAGCCAAAGAGTCACCCACTCAGACTAAGGACAGGATCTCAGAGCTGCTCTCCTGGCCCCATACTTGACATGAAAGGAAGGCACAATCAACACGCTGGAGATGAGCACCTGCAGGCTACGGTGTTAGCTAGGGAGCAGGCATAGAAATGAATGTGATACAGCTTCTGTCCTTGGAGAAGCCCAGAAGATGCTGGGTTCCTCTGCTCCTAGCCATGATTCTCCTCCAAGCTGTACTCACCAGTGGGTATCCATGGCCCAACCAGGAATGTCCATGCCAGAGCCAGGCAGAAGCCCATGATGAAAATGGAGAATACCGTAAAATGGAGACACTAGAAAAAGACAGTTTCGAGAGAATGAACCCCAGCAATTAAGGAAAGTCAGGTCAGGGCCTTGGCATGAATCCAGGCATGGGTCTGGGACAAGGCCACAGTAAGTAGCACAGAGCAAGGAGACTCCCTCCCTCCCAAGAATCTTTCACTCATTCACAAATCACTTGATGAACACCCACTATGTCCTGGGCACGGGCCTAGGCACTGGAGATTAAGTGATGAACAAAGCAAACAGAGATCCTCACATTCCTGGACTTTGCTGCCCAAGAATAAATGAAAACCGTGCTTATGCAGTGTGTTCGTTGGACAGAGCCTTGTTAGGAGGCCAGGATATGGTGCCACTGCCAGTCCACTGTGTGGATCTGAGATCACTTATCTGGTCTGGACCTTGGTTTCCGCTTCCAGTTATGGGAGTAAACATGTCTGAACTGTCTACCTCCTAGCATGGTTTTGGGAATCCAATGTGAGATTGAGAAGTGGCAGGTGTTATGTAAATGTAATATAGAGAATGTGGGCTGGAGCTTGGCTCCTCTGAGTCAACTCAGAGGGGTTCCTATGCTTAATGCCAATGTCCTGCTCACTCGTGGCCAATAGATCACCTAGCGACAACAGGGAGACAGAGGCAGCAGGGGACTCAGGTTGGGACTTCTGAGTGGCACAGGGAGCGCCCAACACCAGTGAAGACCTCCTAAAGGCAATATGGAGGTTGGGGGTGGAGTGGGGCTGGGGAACTATCTAGTGGAGGAAGGTGGGAGCTCATGGAAAGCCTCATCTCCAGCCAAACCCTCAGGGCTCCTGGGTAGGTTGTCTAGCCACAGAGGAGGGAACCCAGAGGGTGACCTCACCCCCACTGACCATATCTCATTAAAGAAATGAGCTCAGCCAGCGTGGCTCCGTGGTTGAGCATCGACCTATGAACCAGGAGGTCATGGTTCGATTCCTGGTCAGGACACATGCCCGAGTTGTGGGCTTGATCCCCAGTGTGGGGCATGCAGGAGGCAGCTATTCAATGATTCTCTCTCATCATTGATGTTTCTAACTCTCTCTCTCTCCCTCTCCCTTTCTCTCTGAAATCAGTAAAAATAAAAAAAAAATTAAGAAAGAAATGAAAAAAATGGAGGCCCTGTCATAATTCAAAAGTTTAGTGTTCTACCCACTCCATCCCAGAGACTGTCCAGACACCAGCCTTTGATAGTTTGTGAAGAACGAGCAGGGCTCTGGATGGTTGAAGCCATAAGGCTGGACATGCTGAAGTGCCCACAGTGGTCCTTCCCTGATCTAGAATGTCCTGCCTCCTTCCCCTCCCACTCTGACTTCTGGATCCTTCGTCCGGACACCAATGTACCACTCAGTCCCTAAAAGCATGCGGCGAGCCTGCAGGCCAGGCTGTGGGAACAACCTGAAGGAGAAGGTGGACACGTAAGAAGCACTCCTGTGGGTGGGTAGCCACAGGGATTTACACAGCACATTTGTTCCCTAACTTTTTACCAACCTTCAAAGGAAGGCACAACCTCAGGAAAGGGCTGTAAAGCCCCAGGCAGCGGCAGAACCAGGAAGCGAATACAGGCCTGCCTCCTTCTTGACCCACATGGCAACTTTTCCAGCCACGAAGTCCTACAGCAGTGACTGGGGTGGGGAAAGAGGAGTCAAGGCCCTAAGCTGTGGTTGGCAAACTGGGGCTCGCGAGCCACATGTGGCTCTTTGGCCCCTTGAGTGTGGCTCTTCCTAAGCCTTAGGAGTACCCTAATTAAGCTAATAACAATGTACCTACCTATATAGTTAAAGTTTAAAAAATTTGGCTCTCAAAAGAAATTTCAGTCGTTGTGCTGTTGATATTTGGCTCTGCTGACTAATGAGTTTGCCGACCACTGCTAGGGAGTCCAACTTGGTCCCAAGTGAGGACTGAAGAGGAAAGCCTGGTCTCTAAAAGTCCCCAGTTCCCTCCCGGCATGATGTGCTGCTGCCAGGAAGAGCTCAGGGAGATCCCCCGACGCCCAAGCAAACCAGGTCACCCAACATTCCCAGACCCCAAAGCATCTAGTCTCCCAAAACCTTGGCAGATGGAGGATAGGCCCTAACGGGACCCACTGCAGCCTCAGGCTAAGAACGGAGGCGCGGGAGGGTCTGGCTGAATTTCCCTTCCCTCAAAAATGTGGCGGAGCTGGGGCACACTCTGCCGCTGGAGCTCCCTCCGCTTCCCCCTTCCCCGCCCCCCTTCTCCCAGCGCCAGATCTGCAGGCCCAGGGCAGCCCTCCGGCATCTGACCTGCGGTTGCGGGGGTCCCCCCTTCAGGGACTGCGGCTTCGCTCCCGCCTGGCTCGAAGTTGGGCCCCGGACGCCCGCTCTCGTCCAGCTCCCTCTCTAGTTCTGGGCCAGGACGGGCGGGGCTGGGGGGGGGGCGCGGGTGAAGAGGAGACGGCGCACCCCAGATCTATGGCTGGGCGGGGCGAAATGGGGCGGGGTAGAAGCCGGCGCACTGGGGACCCGCCGAGGTGCCCGGTGGACACCCGGGCTCGCAAGGTGAGACGCCACGTGCTCGCAGGACCCAAGTGGAGGGAAAGTTCGCGTCCGTGGCTAGGGCTCAGCTGGTGTGGCCACGTGGGGAGCGAAAAGGGCAAGTCCGCTTGCACACGGGTCTGCTGAGGCTGGGAGTGGAAGACGGAAAGGGTGCAGGGGGCGGAGAGGCGCTCCCTAAATCCTCTCCGCACCTGTGGTTCTGGGCTCTAAGACCTTGGTCCGAAGACCTGGCCAGGCGACCCAGCAAGGCACGCATCCTCAGACCCTGTTGGAGACGGTGCTAACCACCCCCGCCACCCCCGAGCAGTTCACCGTGAGATCGCGGAGGTCTCACGCCGCCCGCGCCCCGGACTGCATCGCTAGGTTTGTGCTGGAGCTGCCGGGCGCTGAGCATGCGGGGAGGAGAGCGGAGTCTGAGGGGTGGCTGCGGAGGGGCACGGCCCCTCCTCTGTGCCGGGCTGGCGTGGGGCAGCGCCGCGGAGCCTGGGCTGCAGTCTGCGAAGGTCGAGGGTGGTTTAAAATAGGAGGTGGAGAAGCATCCGGGACCCGGTTTGTCGGGTCAGAGCCTGGTCCTTAAGTGATGAGAAAAGTGGGGGATGGAAGGGAGCCCCGCGGAGAGAAAGGGCGCGCGCTTTCTTGACAGAACGTCCGGACCAGGTCCTCTGATTCCACCCCGGAGAGCGGAGAGCGTCTCGGGTGAAGTTCCATAGGAGGAGGCCAGCGGCGCGAGCTGCCACGCACGCATTGTTTGAAGACGCGAAGGTGGGGAACCCTGGTACCATGTGAGTGGCGGGGATGTGGCTGCAGTCCCGGTGCATTTTGGAGGGGGGCTTGAAGTGCCGCCCTCGCCCGGGCCCCTAGGGGCGCACTTCTTGTGTTCAACCGGATCAAAACCAGATTTTCAAAGAAAAAGTTTGGTAAGAAGCTAAGAGGAAGCAAGAAAAATCTTGTAAGGCCATAAATGTCGCAAGACTTACAGACATCCAGTCCTTCTCCTGGCTTAGCTAAAGTCTGGATAGTTCGGTTTGTATGATTCAGTACCCCTGGGTCCTTACTACCTCAGCCCTTACTGGAGATCCTTGTCTCGGGCTAATTTTCAGATCTTGTTCTGATTCTCCATTTAATTTTTCCTTTAGTGCAACAACGCACATACACATGCCCACGCACGTTCTTAAAGAGGAGAGGCGGGGACAGGAGTTTCTGACGGGGTCTCCTTAGCCAGCCAGGGCTGTAAAGTTTTAATGGGGTCAACCCCAACCAGAGAAATAATCCATCGATCACAGTATAGTAGCTGTGTATCACCCATTAGAGCTCTTGGCAACTCCAGACATGTGACCCACTCCTCATTTGTAGAGAGAATGAATAGTCCTTACTCTGTGGGTTCCAGAGATGGGGGAGGTGGGCAGGAGACTTCAGGAGGAAATTCCTGTCAAGCTATAAGAGAGGCTACAGAGCAGTAAGAAAGTGGCTGAGAACTTTGGATGCTGGGGACTGTAGCTTGTACAAGGATCAGTTTTCTTAAAGATTGGATCTATTTCTTGCTGGCCCCTCACACATACATGGGAGTCCCTTTTCATCCTACGGCAGGAAGGATGTGTCCGGAATACAACTTAATATGAGAAATGCTTCAGTATTTTAAGGGACATCAGAAAGGGCACATCTTTCCAGGTCAGGTAATAAAGGAGGACCCCAAAGTGTGAGGATTGGCCTGCCCCAGTGAAAAAGTACCCCAGTTTTGTTACAGGGGCATCTGGTGCAGGGCTTTAGTGTCTAGATGTTTGTTACTGAGAACTTCTTCCTTGTTGTGCCTGTATTTCTGTTTATATGAACTTGTAGGTGTATGTCTGATTGTTCCTAGTGTTTATTAATAACAATATGCATTGTGTTTATTTCCCAATCATGGCGGTGAGCTCAGGGAGAAGTGGGTCAAGTGAAGACTGACATGAGATTTTTATCAGATGAGGAGAAATTCTACTGTCAGACCCTTCTTGGCAAATCAGGGAGGAAGGTGTTCCTGAGGGAAATGATAAGCTTCATAGGAAAAGCAGGATTGCTGGATGTGGGGACTTTTCATTTTAGTCCCACCTCTTCATGCAGGAGAGGCCTGTTAGCTAAATCATGAAAATCAAATTAAGACAGGAGCATGAAAAATTAACTTTAAAAACTAGGCAATGTTGCCTGGTCAGCATGGCTCAGTGGTTGGGCGTCGACCTATGAACCAGGAAGTCATGGTTCGATTCCCAGTCAGGGCATATGCCTGGGTTGTGGGCTTGATCCCCAGTGTGGGGCATATAGGAGGCAGCCGATCAATGATTCTCTCTCATCTTTGATGTTTCTATCTCTCTCTCCCTCTCCCTTCCTTTCTGAAATCAATAAAAATATATTTTAAAAAAAAAACAAAGAAAAAAACTAGGCAATGTGGTTAAGAAAGACCTAATTTATTAAATTGAACAAAAAAAAACTTAATCAAGGCAAATTTCATTCACCAATTATCTCTTTGATTTAGTCATCTTTAATAAATATTTTGGAAAATTGGAAATAAGTTAACAATGTTCTGTGCTTAGGATACAGAAAGCCTTTGGTAGTGTTTCTTTGCTGTACCATACTAATAGAGATGAGCCATTCTTGCAACATATTGTATAACTTCCCTTTTAAATAAATGCAGGAATAAGGTGACCCTGACCAAAATACATTACACTATTATTTGCTTATATTGCAAATATTTGTTTTTGAAGTTACAGAATGTAACATGTATTAGCAAGCTTGCTTTATCTTCCTATCTTACTAACTAATCATTTTATAGACTTCCTAAAAAATATAGCCTTCTATCAAAATTATAATGGTTTCATTTTAGGTTTCATAAATTTAAAATTCTTAGACCAATAAACATCTGCTTTAAAATAAATATCACTGCCCAGCCCGTGTGGCTCAGCGATCAGACCTATGAACCAGGAGATCACGGTTCGATTACTGGTCAAGGCACGATTCCTGGTCAGGGCACATGTCCGGGTTGCAGGCTTGATCCCCAGTGAGGAGCATGTAGGAGGCAGTCGATCAATGATTCTCTCTCATCATTGATGTTTCTATCTCTCTCTCCCTCTTCCTTCCTCTCTGAAATCAATTAAAATATTTTGAAAATAAAATAAATATCACTATGACATATTTTACAAAATAATTTAATCCAAAAATTTTGTTACTCATGTTGAGCTAGAGTTCAAATGTATGTTTCAGATTCAATTTAAAATGAACATTCGTGCTTTGAAGAATCCAACCATTCAATTTAAAATGAACATTCGTGCTTTGAAGAATCCAAAATTTCTGAAAATTTTGTGAAATCATTAAAAATTGACATGGTTAGTCAAATCCCTTCCTGCCCAGTCCTTAGCCCTATATTGGTGAGAACGCAAAGTAATGTTGAATGACAATGAGGGAATATAGCTCCCCCTTGTGTTCCAAATAGAAGATGCTGCCTGCACAGGGAGGAACCCGTTCATAATATTCATTCATTTGATCCACAGACTGATTAGTATATGCTATGTTCAGGAGTTGCAAAGATGGAATAAGGATAGTCAAAGCTAGAAGGGAGGGAGATGTTCAAACAGACTATAAATTGATTATTAGGATCATGGACGGAGGTGTGTTCAAAATGCAATCAGAACATTAGATGTAGGAACATCCACATAGACCTGATAGCATCCTTCACAGAGGGGTTAACACAAGCTGAGACTTGAAAAGTGAAAAGGAGTTTGCCAAGAAGGTAAGAGCATTCCAAGCAGAGGAAATAGCACGTACAAAGGCATGAAGGCTTGAAAGAGCATGTCAGATTTCGAGAAAGACCAATAGCTCAGTGTGGCTAGAGATTAGGCTGAGTGAAAGATGGAGATGGAAGGGTAGGTGGGACCAGACTACAAAGGACTTTCTATGTGATGGTGAGATTAGATTTTCCCCAGAGCAAAAAATTGAAATAATTATATTTGCTTGTTAGAAATATTGTTCTGACACCAGGCAAGACAGGATGAGGCTGAATTAGGGCAGAGGCAGTGGGAAAGGAAATGCATGGATGGTTTCAATAAATATTTAAGAAGTACGATATTCCAGGTCTCTGCTTTATTTGATTAATGGAGTGGTGACCAAAAAGATAAAAAAATGAAAAGCAAAATAGAGACAGTGAATTCAGTTTGGGACCTGTTAAATTTGAGGCATCCATGGAACATCCAAGTGAAAAAGCCCATGGGGTAATTGACCCTGTTGTGTTTGGAGCCCAGATAAGAGGTCTACTTAGAAATAGAGATTTGAGAAGCATAAGCTATGAGAAAGGTGGTGGTGAAGGCAGGCTGGATAGGTTTCAGAGCCCAGAAGAAAAAGAGATACTCCTTCCTCTGGGATGGGAGAGCTGACAAGTTAAGAAAATAACCAGCCCAGAAGGAAAGGGGAAGTCTGGGAGCTATGATGTTTTGTAGGAGAATCACAGTATTTAGAACTAGAAGGGACTCCAAGATCATCATATCTAATTGTAGAGAAAGAAACGAAGGACTGGGGAAGTTGTCATTTGCCTTCCTAATGTTACATTATTCGTTGAAGAACTGGAACCAGACCCAGAACTGATTCCAGCCCAGTTCTCTCCAAAAAGGATTGGAGATAAATGAAATAATAGATTGTCATCGCCTTCCCAATCTGGTAGCTTCCATGTATTGATATTCTGTTCCAGGTACTATTCTTAGCACTTTACATACGCAGTCTCATTTTATATTCACAATGACCCTATGATGTAAACATTATTATCATCTCCATCCTATATAATAAAAGGCTAATATGCAAAGTGTCCTCACGGGCAGGAGTTCCACTGACCAGTTTGACTGACTAGG